CGGCCAGCAACCTGCTCGCCGAGGGTGCATGAATGGCTGCCGAGGCTAACAACTTACCCATCGAGTGTTTTAAAAGCATACAGCCCAACCAAGGGCGCACGAATGGCCGCTGAGACCAGCAACCTGCCTACCGAAGGCTAACGCAAACAACCCAACCGAGAGTGCACGAATGGCCGCCCAGGCCAGAGACCTGCCTACCGAAGGCTGAAGCCTACAGCCCAACCAAGGGTGCACGAATAAGCACACAGCCCCTACGAGGTGCACAAACGGCCGTTGAGGTCAATAACCTGCCGACCTCCCCCCCCCCCCCCCAGCCCAGGGTTAAAGCAAACTTCCGGCAAAGGGTAAATCGTAGTGCCCAACGAGGGCTAGAGCATGCTGCCCAACGAGGGCAAGAGCATACTGTCCACCGAGGGTCACTGATGATCATATACTACCCACCGAGGGCTGAGTCGTACTGCCTATTGAGCCAGCAAACAGCCACCGAGGCTGAGAACCTACCTGCCAAGGGATAAAGCATACTGCCCAGTGGGGGCGAACGAACGACCAACAAGGCCAAGAGGCCAATTGAGTCATATTTCCACGATTCCTTTTGAATTTCTATCTCCTATCACGGGGAGACTGACATAACCATTTTAGGCATGTGTTAGTGCATGCGTTCTGTCAGGTGTGCGTGTGTTTGTTGTGGGACGTTAAGTCGGAAGAGCCACATTGCTTGTACTCATTGCCACCTACCATTCAGTTTGTTGTAAGAACTGAAATGTCCTATTCATAGTATTGCCTCTCTGAAAGGACTCGACATGTTTTGAGAGTTGTCAATGTGTGTGTGTTTGTGTGTGTGTGTGTGCATGCGTGCGTGCGTGTGTGCGAGCGTGCGTGTGTGCATGTCTGCATGCATGCATGTGTACGTGTGTATGCACCCTCTCTGTTGTACATTCTCCAGGGCGAGGTGAGCTTCTGAGGATCTCTACTGGATAGTGTTTAGCAGTTGAGATTGGTGAACTTGACCAGCACTGGACAGGGATCATTTCAAGCAGCTACTGCAGTAAGAGATACTCCAACAGCACACTACCTGTCATTGATCACAACACTGTGACATCACTTGTATAGACATGATGTATACAGATTGTCTATGACACACACAGTGTTGTGTTAGTATGTAGATATAATGATCAACTGAACTACATGTACTGTCTAGTCCAGTCTACTGTGGTATCAGTTTTACTGAATGTGTTCATGTCTACTCTCACCTACTGTTTTTACACTAGTCACTGTACAGAATAGTTACCGCTATGTCAATTAAACCTGGAAAACTCTACTCTACAAATGTTTATACTGCAATGTATATTGCCATAGCAGTTTCAGCCATACCCTGTACATACAAGTTCATGCTACTATCTTTGAGATACACATCATATTTTACTCCTGTATTTAAATCTAGCAGCACTGCTAACATTCATGTGACAAGCAAGAAATACCCGTTGTGTGCTATCATGCCAAGTCATAAAATCATCATGAATGTAGCCAAGGCTCGACCCGAGCACACAGACTTCAGCCCTTCCACGTTTCCAATTGTGGCCGGCTTTTCAGTAGACGACAGGACCTATCCTGCTTGAACATGGCAATGTGTCCCAGGTTCTATGTGTTTGTGTGCACGTGCGTGCGCGCATGCGCACGTGTTTGTGTGCGTGTGTTTGTGTATGTATATGTGTGGGGGGGGGGGGTGCGCATTGATGTGCATGCACGTGTGTGTGTGTGTGTGTGTGTTTGTTATGTGAGTATATACATGCTCAAGGGTACACCATGCCAAACTAGAGTGTGCCCATTCATCCCAAGCTCATGAACGGGATGCTACCTCTGCCAGTATTTGTATTATGTTACCATCAGTAATATGCAGCAGTGTTGTAATGATCAAATTCATCATGGTTACGATCTACAATGTACTGTCGTGAACATTGAAATCAGATGGGATGACCGGGACCGGCACCCTATACTGCTTTAAACATGTACACACACTATAGTTCACGTCCACACTGTAAAAATGGACCAGCTGTGCTCGCGGCTGCAAGGTCAGTGCCCAGTGGCCGCTTGACTTCTCAACGGATTTCAAAGTTCACGACAGTACCTTGAAGTGTAGATAAATGGAGGTGGCAAACGTCACGAACCATTATTCTGTGGCGATACTGCACCTAGAGATCACTACTGGCCGTGCTCATGGGCAGGCACAAGAGTATGTAACGTCTGCGGGGGCGGGGGTCTGAGCCCTCTGGATTAGGATGAGCAGAAAGTTTAGATTTGCCACGAGCACAATGGCACGCAGTGTTCAAAACGGGCGCGGGAGGGGGGGGGGTGGCAACAGCAACTTGCAGTGCCGGCATGCCGGTATCGTACAGGCACGCCTAGACTGCATGTGATTTCAGGCTTCCTACTGCAACACTTTGTATGAAGTAAGCGTAGTAGTTCAAGTATAAAGCATCTTGAATAGTGACACAATCAAGTACCGCTAGTCGGGTACAGAAAACAGAGTGACTTGGGAGCAAGTAGTAGTGATGTCATAGCAGTACAGCCGGAAAGTAGTACTGATGAGTGATGACATGGCCAATGCCCTCCTTGTAACTTAAAAATATTCATAATACCGGTACTGTCCCTCTCCATGCTTCCAGGATGGTGGAAAGGGCGGAAATTGAAATGGAAAACAAATTGTGAACGGCCGCAGGTGAGAAAGAGAACATAACTTCTTGGTGATGGCCGTCGGAAACAATGCACATTGGCTATGGGAGTTGTCACTGATAGGACTGGAAGATTGAACAATGCGATGTCGTTATTTAACCACCCATGATAGAACACAGGTTGGGCCGAGCTAGGGCACTAGTGAATTTGGCACAAAAAAAAACCCATAGCTATGTGAATAAAACTGTGGAGACAATGTGCAATAAAACGATGAAACTTGAATGTGAAGAAATTATGTAGAGAAAGAAAGGGATTCAAACAAGTTTTCGTACAACACTCATCAGGAATCGTCGTTGTACTAAAGGACACTGAAACAAAAATTGAACTATTATAGAAAATGGTTATGGACTACAGTTAAAAGTGTTGGAAGCTATCTATCAGCGTCTGTACAAGCCTAATTTGTGTGTACAGAAAGATAGTATAATAGGCCTTATGCACATTGTACAGATGCACGAAATCCCGTATAATCTTGTAGAATCCCGTAGACCCGGTTGGGTGTTGAATGTGCAGGACCCTATTGTGTTTACTGCTATTTCCACTATGAAATGGGCCATGAAGGCATTTCATACGAAATCTTTTTCCGGCAGAGATCTAGCTAGTCGTTAGTTCAATCCCAAAGTGAAGAAGGCTTGAAAAGTGATCGTTTGCCATGAATTGTGAGGCTAAATGGGTCAAACGCGCATGTATAGCACACAATGAACACCCAACCGGGTATGTACACACCTACGGCCATAGTACAGAACTTCGTACATCTGTACAATGTGCATAAGGACTATTGGGTTGAAATTGTTCAAGTAACGTGTCGTGTTTAGTGCGGCCAAGCTTGGCCGTTAATGTTCTAGGTGTAATGTACTGCTGTTATCTGTTATCACGTTGTCTTTCCTTCCTTTCTCCTTTGTTCATTTCTCGCTTTGATTGTTAAAATTCACACTTGTAAATTTCACTGTTGTTGCTCTTAGTGTTATTTCTCTAACTTAGATTTTCTATAATAGTTCAATTTTTGTTTCAGTGTCCTTTCGTACAACGACGATTCCTGATGAGTGTTGTACGAAAACTTGTTTGAATCCCTTTCTTTCTCTACATAATTTCTTCACATTTTTCATCGTTTTATTGCACATTGTCTCCACAGTTTTACAATACATGAATACAGTGTACACAAATGTCGATCCAGCTTGTATTACTGATTGCGGTTATCAAATTATTATGTGAATAAAAATAATAATATCAGCGGCATACTAGAAGTAGTGAGGGTAGGTAAGTGTAATTTGTCATGTGACCAGTATTGATGGTGGATATGCTAAAACACATATACATGTAGAGTAGTGATGATACTAGCATTGAAACTGGAGAATGGGACGGTCAAGGGTGGACTGTGAGGAGACTAGCATTGAAACTGGAGAATGGGACGGTCAAGGGTGGACTGTGAGGAGACTAGCATTGAAACTGGAGAATGGGACGGTCAAGGGTGGACTGTGAGGAGACTAGCATTGAAACTGGAGAATGGGACGGTCAAGGGTGGACTGTGAGGAGACTAGCATTGAAACTTGAGAATGGGACGGTCAAGGGTGGACTGTGAGGAGACTAGCAACAGCAGTGAGGATGCACACATGTACATGCACTGCCGACTTAACCTTTTTACTGGCATTTCTTCGGTTCGTCCGGAAGCAGAACGTTGGCTGGGGTGGTGCCAAGTAGCATGGAGTGGCGCTTGTACGACTTTGATTTACGGAAGCGACTGTCCGTGCCAAACAGAAAATCAAAGATTCCTGCATAGCAGCAGCCAACATAAACAAAAAAATAATGTCAGTTTTTACAATTACACAGTAGGTATCGGTTATAGCGTGGGTGTTTGAAAAGCGACTTTCTATTTTTATATCCGATATTTATTACACACGATATTGAAAATCAAGTGTGACATATCATGTGCATGTGCGCAGAGTCAGGAAGATCATCCTACATGCAATGTAGTGCTACTGTACATGCGGCCGGTCATAGTTCCATAGCCTCATAGGCTTACCATTGTGGCTATGCAACATGAGTTACATGACCACAACAGTTGAATCTGCAGCACAACGTAGTCTACGACCCAACGCGAGTCAGATCAGAACTGCATTGGACAGATGTTATTACTACAGGCGATATACTTTGTACTAATCTGGTATGTTTTGCAACACAAAGTCCATTCTTAGGCCCGATATATTCTGCTGTCCGATAAAATTGCTTGTAAGAATAAATGTGCACTTGAAACCCATGCTATGATTATGAAAACATGAGAGTTCATTCTTGCAGGCAGTATATTCTTTTACACGACCACGCTATAACCCATACGCACTGTACGAGGTACACAAACTCACCGGCAGGCACATGGGACTAGCATGGAGTCAGCAGTGAGACGGTGCTGGTGGGACCTGCCATGCTCAACTGACCAGAGGTCTCGGCATCATCGAATGGCAGACTTACCAAACTGAGGGCATTGTAGAGCATTGGATCAGAATCAGACAATACATACAGGAACATTCATGGTTAGAAGAGACAACAACCATGACACTGGTATGCAAGTGAACTGCTGGAAACAGGGAGTATTTCTTTTTCTGTTGTTGGGGGCAGGGACTGGGGGAGTAATACAGTCGTCACCAAAAAATCCAGCCAATGCCATGGATACCTATACAGTGGCATGGTGCCAGTCACAATCGCATTCATGCATTTACAGTCATTAGAGGGTCTACCAGCATAGCACTGAACTAAAACAGTCCGCCGCTCTGCACTCTGCCTGCTGCAGTCGAGTCGAGCACAGCACAGACTGTGCACTGCAGAGTGCAGTCCCGGCGGCAGAGCATGTGCCATGCACTAGGCTATTACTAGCACTAGCAGTGGCAGTGCATGCTACCCATGCACAGTACAGCTACTGGTAGCAGTGGCAGTGCATGCTGCCCATGCACAGTACAGCTACTGGTAGCAGTGGCAGTGCATGCTACCCATGCACAGTACAGCTACTGGTAGCAGTGGCAGTGCATGCTACCCATGCACAGTACAGCTACTGGTAGCAGTGGCAGTGCATGCTACCCATGCACAGTACAGCTACTGGTAGCAGTGGCAGTGCATGCTACCCATGCACAGTACAGCTACCGGTAGCTGGTATAACATTAGCTGGATTTTTTGGCCACGACTGTATTCTTATCTGTGCAAATTTCGAAAAGTTAGCAAGTGGCTTTATACATGCAGTCAGAACATTGGGGGGGGGGGGGGATTTCCTTTTAGGGGTACATCAGGGGGGCTCAAGCCACATTTTTGCATTCACCGCCTCCCATGTATGTGCAAGGTATTGGTACAGCTACCATTCAATGCAGAATGCACACACTACACTACTAACTTTGCATGATGGTAGTCGTGGTACTCGTTGGACGCCATGAACGGCAGGTGGAAGCCGCAGTGTGCGACGGCCAGCGAGATGCAGGCCCACAGCAGCAGCAGCAGCATACAGTGAGAGCCGAGCAGGACGGGACCAGCCATTACCGGCAATATGTTTGAGAGGCAATGCTCGACCGGGTGACAGTACAGACCAGAGATTCTGATGGGCGCGATCCACTCGTGGTGAAACTTGTGAACGTGTTCAGTCTTCATTGCTGCCAAGCTCCTCAAGAGGCTTCAGCACCTGGACTATCCTTTCTGCGTTCACTCACTGTAATAATGGCTGGCAACCCTGGCCACGTCATTGGTCACAAAGCTCGCTAGCAGTGGTCACTCGCCCCGTGTCCGAAATTTCGAGTCCTCTGTCTCATACTCTTGGACGATACATGTACCGAAGCAACTGTATAGATCCGATAGAACAACAAGACACGTGCACTATTGCAGGCAACGATTTACATCTGTTGACCATCTAGCCACGCACTGAATTATTTCCATTTTGACGTTTGAATAGATGCTCAAATAATATCCAACACGCAGTTCAGTTCAGTTGGCTCAGTCCTCCAGTCTGCGGTCATCAAAATCATGCCATTCATCGCGATCAACACGCTTTCTCTTACAACTCGGTCTGGCTTTCTTCAATCTTGACCATTATCACTGCCATACTACAACAGTTTACTCGATTCATATCACTCCATAATGGAAACTTATTGCGCTCGTACTCTGCAATCATCAGCCAATAATCCAAGGAACCGAAAAAAATCCTATCAGCTATGTCAGATCAACGCTTTCTTCGTGCACGCATGCGCCATGGCAACCATGACCGGAGTCGGAGGCTGGCGGAGAGCTCACCCGGTAGAAGTCTACCCTGGCCTCACTCAGGCCCAACGCCGGCCAAATGCGAAGGCTACTGCCACTTGCCAGTACTGGCGCGGCCATGGCATGGCTGCACCGACCGCGTTGACGTTGTCATCTCCTTCCGACTAATTTTTAGTATTTTTTTTACTATTCTCTTAGTGCTGTTACTGATACTGTGATAGCGAAGAGCCCAGGCGATCGAGCTGATGCTGAACATTTCAAGCGTGATTTTCGAAGAATTGTTTGCCTTCATGAAATTCGCTCAGTACCTGAGCCACAGCTGATGAACGGCTTGTACTTGAAAGTACGTGTTATTGCTTGAGAAAGACAACTCTTTGATCCTAAGAAGTTATGCAGTAACTCGATTTCGATCGTGATCAGTCCGCAGTGCGAGTGAACTGTGGTCACGCGGACAGGCAGGAGTGTGAATAATGGCAGACAGGGTGCGCTATAACATAGCCTTCCTACTTTCCAATCTAGATGCATCCGTGATCTTGGAACTCTTGCTGGAGAATGATGTGCTGGACGTTGATGAATATGATACTGCCTCTAGCAAGGAAAACGTGAAGTCTGATTTGACAAGGTACGTGGTGAGGCTGATGCTGAAGAAAACAGAGGAACAGGTCGACACGTTCCTGAGGCTCATTCAGCACAGCCAGCCTCATGTAGCGGAACATGTCGCCAGTACCATGGCAAAGCGACGCGATCCAACTGCCAGTGGAAAAACTGACCATCCGACGAAGCCAATATCAATGTCGGCAGATGATGAGTCCACACTTGGCTCGTCCTCCGGTAAGTTTTCACATTGATTACGTGGCGTAGGAAGATTGGGGGGGGGGGGGGAACTCGTTGAACATTCGTGTAACTACATGACTTGTACAGTCCTGCTCAATGAAGTCCAGTCACCGCATCACTCAAGTACACGCTGGGCGTTGCGCAGCCCTAGACCTGCGAACACTGGGCTGAGAAATTGTGCAAGGCGCAAACTTGAGTGACGCGATTGGATTTCATTGAGCAACACTGTACTTACTTGTTAGCATAGAGAAGTGCTTACAGAGATCAATCAGTTCATACATTCACATCAATCGTATTGAGAGCTGACCCTGGGTGGGTTCAGTTAGATGGACATGGTCCTGAGGTTATAACCAGATCTACATGATGATCCTGTAGATCTACAAGAAATGCAGGTGCCACCGGCGTGAAGCACTGTCATGGGTCACTAGATTATTGCTAGAGAGTTCAGTTCCAGCCTGGGTCAGGTGAAAACTGCAGTCACAACTTGCGTGTACATTTACAATGGGGCCCGCGTGAAAGCTCTTTGGCCTGACTTCGAGCCCGCCCGCTTCTATCTGATCCCGTGAGCAGTACTCCCTTGTCGATTCTATTTTAGGTAGCTGAGGTCATCGCCTTTCCATTGATGCCACACATGCCATGCTTGAACAAAAAAGGTGGAGCCGTTGTTTGCACAGAGGCATAGCGAAGTACTGATCTCAACCAGATTCATACTCGGCCCCGGGAGGTACACCCAATTTTAGTGTTCAGCAGCCTCGAATTAGTCTAAAACAAGAGCATTCTAGAACATTTAGCCTCGCACTGTATCGCAGTAGAAGGAAAATTATCACAGAAGCCAGCCCACAGCGATTTCCCGATGTTGGACGTAAACGGCATGCATGTGCACATCCTGTACCGCCATGCACTTCAGTTCGCACGCGCATCTATGCACCAAATAGTGCAGTGCTGGACGGAAACCACACCGTCCCCATTCATACTTGAATTACTTTCTGTGACTGCTCAGTTGTTCATTTTCCAAACTTCAATCATAGCTTTAACTTTGGTTTAGGTAAAGTAAAAAGTAATTTATCGTGTCCGTTCCTGAAGGGAACTCACGACGGCCGCTAACACCCGGTAACCCCTAGCGGCATTGCCTTTGGATTGCCTTGGAATTTATGTTTCAAACTTTCGCAGGTCGTTTCTGAAACCTTCCCGGTTCACAAAAAATAGCGTTTCATCCGAAACTTTCGAATATGATTTTTCGAGTGAAGTTTCTATTATTGCTTTGCATCGTAGCTGCTGATGAGTTTTGTTTTTCTCAAGTTCTGCAGTTTACTTCGAAATCGCAAACATTGCTTTAGTCGGGGTCAGTTGTTCTCATTGCTACGCCGGCAGCAGCTATAGTGCAGCATTCCAGAGAATACCACTTTCCAGACAAAATGTTCAACTCAGACTTAGTACAGTAGCTCTTGGAGAGAGAAGATTGCAAGGTACTTCGGCGGCAGAGTTAAATTTGAACATTTCCATGGAAATACTAAGCCCAAGGCTACAAGCCATCATTCAATGACCTCCAAAAGATCTCACTAAGTCAAGATGGTCATCAACACCATTGTGGTAAATCCTCTATCAGTAGAACATGACTTTGTTACTAGCCGTAGAGTTCTAGCAAAACCACTGGTAGGAGATAAGCCCAGGATTCTTGTTTGTAATAGCTGGAAGTGGGGCGTTATTTTCTAACGTGAACTTGTCCCTCTGTCATTGCTCTGTGCACAGAACAGTCTGAGAACACTACCATTACTATGATTTTTTAACTTACTTTCTCCGTTGATAAGCAAAACTTCTACATAGGGTTTTGAACTCCGATAGCGTTTTAGAGTTCTGTTTATGATCTTTCTATAGGCAATAGACACACATATCGGTGATCTATCTCCCCCCCCCCCCCCCAGATAGGGTAGCCATGGTGACATCCATTTCTCTGATAGGCTTAGAACCTCCGATACGCGTGGAGTCCTTTGGAGAAATTAGTATAGCCCTGTCCTGACAGGATGTCACCAGAACACACCCACAAGCGCACAACACCGAAGTGAGAAATGAGAAACAGAGCCTTACAAAAACCATTCCTGTGAGCTCCTTGGCCCAGGGAGATTGCAAAAATGCCTGTCAAGAACAATACTGAAAATTATACCGGTATCACCGCCAACAATACCAGTTATTGTGCGCACAAGACGGAAAGACACGAAGATCCCAAATCAAAAGGACGTCACTCTTCATGCCGCAGAATTCACGGCAGGTAGACCGCTGACAAAGATCAAGAAGCTGTTCGCGTAGCTCTTCTCAGACTTTCCTAGTTCTCTAAATCTCAAGGTAAAATTTGTGCACAAACAACTCAAGTTGTACTTCAAAGTAGATCTACCATGAGCAAGTATCCAGTTCCGCTCCAGTGTCAGGACTCAACTGGTCACGCAAGCGGAAGGAGTGAGTGCGTTCGATTATGACCGCAAAACGATGTTGAATCCATTCATGAAACGTCCCTGGCTATTCACATCACCCCATGTTAGGGTAAATGGATTCCAAACTGATTCCAGGGCTACATGACATGAAATCCAACGACAAGATTCCATTCATGAATCAATTAATGGCTGTAATCGAACGCACCCAGTGTGGCCGAGGAGCCGGTCAAAGGTTCACCACTGAAATCGCACAAAAGCTGGTTGTTCTAAACAATCAGAACTGGGCTCGATTGTCGTTGAACCGATTAGCCATCAAGCTGGTAAGAGAAGGAGTAAATGTCTCACCTGTGACTGTTTGAACTAGGTGCAAGGCGCTTCAGATGCGGAGACGGCGACGATACATCAAGCCGGATTTGACAGCCGAGCATAAAATAAAGCGCATGAAATTTGTCCTCTCCCAATTGAATGAGCAGACCATGAAATTCTCCGACCTGAAAAACGTGACACGTGGAGGTGAGAAGTGGTTCTACATGATGCATGACAAGCATGCAACAGAAAATGTGGTGGTTTCACGAGGATGCAGCATACACAACCAGTGATGCTGGTACAGTCAGACCTCGCTTATCCGGTCCTCTTTTATCCAGATCCCTGCCATCCGGAAGAAAATAATTATTGTTAGTTACCGATTTACAGCATATGCCATGCATACATACAGTATGTGTGTTCGATTATCCGGTTCCCTCGCCTATCGGATTTTTTTGTGGAAAACGGATGTGTGCGGTTATGCGAGGTCTGACTGTATGCGTCCAACCATGTGGAAATGTTGGGTCTGGGAAATGGAAGTTTGAAAAGCCGCGTGGCTCGAAGAAGTGCCCAGGAGCCGGCCAGCCACTGCTGTACCAGCACGATGGTATGTGTCCGCACACAACAAAAATCAATGGGCGTGTGTTTGCAGGACAGGGGAAAGCGAAAGGATTTGACATTCAGGTTTTTGTTCAGGCTGGACAAAACCCCGATCTCAACGCGGACGACTTGGCGTTCTTCCACAGCCTGCAGACCGATGTGTCACCGATGGTGAATGAAACCAGAAAAGGAGCTCAGAAGTTCTGCAGGCTTTGGAAGCGTGCTGGCAGAAGAACCCCAATGCAAAGATGAAAAACATTAAGTTTTGGTTGTGCCGCTATGGCATCTTCCATGGGATTCTGGAGAGCGGCGGAGAGAAAAACTGCCGACAGCGGCACCGTGCAAATCGTCAAGTTCACAGTTCAAGCAAAGAAGTACGATCAAATATTTTCTCGGCATATTTTAATGTTTACAGCGCGTGAGCTGTCAGTGTGTCAGCACTGCAGACGGGAGTCAGCGAGGAAGCACACTTAATGCAGGGAATGAGTTGTGATCGGATTCAGATGATGAGAGAAGTTGGACCACTTCGAAACAAACTGTGTGACATCTATAAACTACTATTTCTCGTATGCTGCTCTGTTCTCCCCTCTGCAAACTGTGTTGTAGCCATTGAATACTTTTGACGGAACTGTAAAAAAATGCAACAAAGTTTCGCTGAACGTAGGAAGTAGGTCATACATCCCTTTTGAAAAAGATTTAAAACTTACAATAGGTTTATTCATACTTTCTGTTTCCTTGGTAGGTATCACCATGACAACAGTTGGCAAACAGAAAACGCAGCCATTGCAGCACACAGTGGGAGCTTGTCAGGCAGACCAACAACGGACGTCCAACAGATGTGAGCCAATCTTCAAACAACCAACATCAGCTGAAACAACCGCTAATGTAACTAAAACAGGTGCAACATCCAATACAACATTGACTAGAACACAGGATTCAACAAGATCAACAACTTCAAGCCAGTCATCTCTACCGGACAAAGACCGACATTTCACTGGCAGGAATGACATTGTTACAGAGATCAGTCACAATATTCTCACAACAAAGTCCAAGTCATCACCTACACGAGTGCAGAGTCTTGTGGCACCAGCTGGTTTTGGTAAGACGTCCGTAGCCATTGCTGTGGGACATGCATGTTGCAATGCTGGTTGTCGTGTGGAGTTCTTTGACTTACGCGGTGTAGCTGGTGTTGACGCTGTCCAGGCAATGATTCAAAACCGACTCGAAACAAACCCAGCTTCATCTGAAACTACTGGCAAGACAACGAAATCAACTGATGGCAGGGATAATGATGGTGGCAAACACCACATGTTATATATCCTAGACAATGCCGAGGATGCTATCCAGGCTGGTGCTGATAAAGATCTCCAACTACAAGATGTTGTGGAGCAACTACTTCGACTACAACCCCATGTCCATGTCCTACTGACAAGTCGTGTTTACTTTGACCTACACGCTGCCCAGTTTAAACTACAACAACATCGTCTTGATGGTCTGACAAAGGTTTGTGCTGTTGGTCTTCTCCATGGTCTATGTGTTGAAGGTAGTGTAAGCATTGAAGATGCACAGAGGTTAGTGGATCATTGTGGAAATGTCCCACTTGCTGTACGCATTACAGCTGGTCTTCTACAAGGTGGTCGATTAACTCCAACCATGTTGCTGGCGGTGTTCAAGAAGATTGGTCTTGATGTGTTCAACGACGATGGTCTGAAACCGAATCATCGAATCCTGAAGCTGTTGACATTAGCATACAACACATTACAACAGGATGACAAGGAATCATTCCATGCTCTGTCTCAACTACGCTCCTCGTTCTCATCTGGCTGTGCTTGTGTGATGGTGGGTTTGCCTGCAACTGATGCCAGTGTGGTTCATCTTGTACGTTTTGATCCGTTGATCAAGATTTGTTTCCTGGATTACAATTCGTGTTTGGATCGCTACTCGTTACAACCATTTATCGCCGAGTTTGGTCGTTACCAATGCCCAGAAGACAAGCAACACATGTACCAACAGCGAATGTGCAAGCATTTCCTTGGCTTTGTGAAAGAAGTTGATGACTGTAGAGGTTGTGGTGCAGACATAGCAATGTACTGGAGTTACCAATTGCTTCAGGAACGGGTGAATATACAGAAGGCGCTGTCTGTTGTTAATGTTTTGTCTGGTGATGACTTGCTTTCTTTCTCTGGATTAACAAAGTCGTCTGGTATCCTAGCTACCTTGTGTGGGAGAGCAGTATTTGTTGGAGAGCTTAGGGACAGGATTCAAAGATTGGACAAAGCACCGCTATCCGTTCAAGCTGAAAGCATTCTCAACGTGGTCCTTTGTTATATTGTCTGTCCAAGCATTGCAGATTCTGATGTCACTTTTGAGAGTTTGGATTCCAGAACCCAAATGCTCCTAGAGAAATCTGAACAAGAACCGACAGGAGTGGAGTCACCGCTGCAGCTACCTTTGATGCAACTTTCTCTAGAGTCATGCAGGGTATCCATGTCTCTGGACATCGACTGCAGGGAAGGACAGGTTGAGCCCAGCCAGGAAACACTATCCCGTCTTCAGGTGGTGTACCAGCGTGTTACAACAACACTGGGAATTGGTCTTGCAACAGGTGTGACTGAATGTGCCCTGAAACTCATTCAACTGTATTGTTCCACTCTGCTAAACAAGGATATTCCCAATGTATTGGTGGTAGAAGACCTTGCTAAGAGAGTGATTTCATCACACTTCCTATCACACGGTGCAGTCAGGTCATGTGCTGCAATGTACGGTTTTCTGCTACAGTGCATTGCTGTGATCCTGGGCAAGGTCATGTCAAGTTTCTGTAGCAGTGAGTGGATTATTTCACCATCATTGCTTACAATACTGGGTATACCACGGTGCGAATGGAAACATGTACCAACTGCTATCAGCCGCACGGTCAATACCCATGACGACAAAACCACTGTGTCTGCTTTTCGGTTACAACAGTACCTGCACTCCATGGATGATGACACAGTGTCCACACTACTGGACTTGCACTTGAATGATGTGTACACCATCCGATACAGCTACTTGGTAGTTAATGGAAGGGCGCGCACAACTCCAACTGGTCTCACTCTACCAGCACAGCATCCCTACAACATTGTGATGGACTATTTCAGGAGATGGTGTAATGGCTCAAATCCAGCAGATCACACAACAGCACTGATTAACAACTGTAGCCAGAACAAGGTACCTGATGTGGAAGTGATGCAGTCTTGTATACTTACGGCCAGAACACTGCTCGAGATTGAGGTAAGCTAGTAGTGCAGTGTACACAGTTCAGGTTACCATAACTGTTTTTCAACCAAATTCCACTCTGAATGGAACATTGTACTGCAAACCAGTATACTCAGTAATTATCTACTGTATAGTGTCTGTCTCTCTAAGGTAGATTTCTTGAAGAACACAGAGGGGAATGTGATAATTTTGAACATGGTAACTATGGAAATGGAATATGTTCTTTTCTGCTATATCAACCTGATTTGTTATTATTGTGTAGTATGATGTTGCCTGTTTCAAGTTTACTGAATTCAGTTACGTTCTTTTCAACACTGTTCTGTGTTGTGTGCTTTGCTGCAGAATACGGTCTTAGCAACTGATGTTAATTCCAAACTCTTCCCAGCATTGAAGTCATTGGTTAATGATCTCAGTGCTTGCCTGCCAAGCAATTGTGCAACTGGTCTGTCAGTGTCTGGAATTGTGTACTTACCACTACAAGCTGGAGACTACCCTGTGCTATACGTCTCTGCCGTTGCTGCCCTACATCATCAATCCAAGCGAGGCCAAGTGAGAATCGATCACCACATTGCACTACTGGAATGGTGTCCACGTGTAGCAGCATGTTTTGTCTGCTATGACCTGGACAACATCAAAGCATGTCCTCGTTGTGGCATGGCTTACCTGTGTGGCAAACATCGTCAAACTGATGAACACCTAAGTGAACACACCCAACACTGTGCTATGCTGGCACCACTCAGACATCGCACACTGCAGTAAGTTAGAGTGATGGCATCATACAAGAGCGTGTGCACGAGTGCCGTGTGCTGTGTGCTGTACTCGTATGTCAGTAATTTAACAGTACAACAGAACCACCGCTGTGTGCTGTACTCGTATGTCAGTAATTTAACAGTACAACAGAACCACTGCTGTGTGCTGTACTCATATGTCAGTAATTTACCAGTACAACAGAACCACTGCTGTGTGCTGTACTCGTATGTCAGTAATTTAACAGTACAACAGAACCACTGCTGTGTGCTGTACTCGTATGTCAGTAATTTAACAGTACAACAGAACCACCGCTGTGTGCTGTACTCGTATGTCAGTAATTTAACAGTACAACGGAACCACTGCTGTGTGCTGTACTCGTATGTCAGTAATTTAACAGTACAACAGAACCACTGCTGTGTGCTGTACTCGTATGTCAGTAATTTAACAGTACAACAGAACCACTGCTGTGTGCTATACTCGTATGTCAGTAATTTAACAGTACAACAGAACCACCGTTGTGTGCTGTACTCGTATGTCAGTAATTTAACAGTACAACAGAACCACTGCTGTGTGCTGTACTCGTATGTCAGTAATTTACCAGTACAACAGAACCACCGCTGTGTGCTGTACTCGTATGTCAGTAATTTAACAGTACAACAGAACCACTGCTGTGTGCTGTACTCGTATGTCAGTAATTTACCAGTACAACAGAACCACCGCTGTGTGCTGTACTCGTATGTCAGTAATTTAACAGTACAACAGAACCACTGCTGTGTGCTGTACTCGTATGTCAGTAATTTAACAGTACAACAGAACCACTGCTGTGTGCTGTACTCGTATGTCAGTAATTTAGCAATACAACAGAACCACCGCTGTGTGCTGTACTCGTATGTCAGTAATTTAACAGTACAACAGAACCACCGCTGTGTGCTGTACTCGTATGTCAGTAATTTACCAGTACAACAGAACCACTGCTGTGTGCTGTACTCGTATGTCAGTAATTTAACAGTACAACAGAACCACTGCTGTGTGCTGTACTCGTATGTCAGTAATTTAACAGTACAACAGAACCACTGCTGTGTGCTGTACTCGTATGTCAGTAATTTAACAGTACAACGGAACCACCGCTGTGTGCTGTACTCGTATGTCAGTAATTTAACAGTACAACGGCACCACTGCTGTGTGCTGTACTCGTATGTCAGTAATTTAACAGGACAACAGAACCACCGCTGTGTGCTGTACTTGTATGTCAGTAATTTAACAGTACAACAGAACCACTGCTGTGTGCTGTACTCGTATGTCAGTAATTTACCAGTACAACAGAACCACTGCTGTGTACTGTACTCGTATGTCAGTAATTTACCAGTACAACAGAACCACTGCTGTGTGCTGTACTCGTATGTCAGTAATTTAACAGTACAACAGAACCACCGCTGTGTGCTGTACTCGTATGTCAGTAATTTAACAGTACAACAGAACCACCGCTGTGTGCTGTACTCGTATGTCAGTAATTTAACAGTACAACAGAACCACTGCTGTGTGCTGTACTCATATGTCAGTAATTTAACAGTACAACAGAACCACTGCGGTGTGCTGTACTCGTATGTCAGTAATTTAACAGTACAACAGAACCACCGCTGTGTGCTGTACTCATATGTCAGTAATTTACCAGTACAACAGAACCACCGCTGTGTGCTGTACTCATATGTCAGTAATTTAACAGTACAACAGAACCACCGCTGTGTGCTGTACTCGTATGTCAGTAATTTACCAGTACAACAGAACCACCGCTGTGTGCTGTACTCGTATGTCAGTAATTTACCAGTACAACAGAACCACTGCTGTGTGCTGTACTCGTATGTCAGTAATTTACCAGTACAACAGAACCACCGCTGTGTGCTGTACTCGTATGTCAGTAATTTACCAGTACAACAGAACCACCGCTGTGTGCTGTACTCGTATGTCAGTAATTTACCAGTACAACAGAACCACTGCTGTGTGCTGTACTCGTATGTCAGTAATTTAACAGTACAACAGAACCACTGCTGTGTGCTGTACTCGTATGTCAGTAATTTAACAGTACAACAGAACCACTGCTGTGTGCTGTACTCGTATGTCAGTAATTTAACAGTACAACGGAACCACCGCTGTGTGCTGTACTCGTATGTCAGTAATTTAACAGTACAACGGCACCACTGCTGTGTGCTGTACTCGTATGTCAGTAATTTAACAGGACAACAGAACCACCGCTGTGTGCTGTACTTGTATGTCAGTAATTTAACAGTACAACAGAACCACTGCTGTGTGCTGTACTCGTATGTCAGTAATTTACCAGTACAACAGAACCACTGCTGTGTACTGTACTCGTATGTCAGTAATTTACCAGTACAACAGAACCACTGCTGTGTGCTGTACTCGTATGTCAGTAATTTAACAGTACAACAGAACCACCGCTGTGTGCTGTACTCGTATGTCAGTAATTTAACAGTACAACAGAACCACCGCTGTGTGCTGTACTCGTATGTCAGTAATTTAACAGTACAACAGAACCACTGCTGTGTGCTGTACTCATATGTCAGTAATTTAACAGTACAACAGAACCACTGCGGTGTGCTGTACTCGTATGTCAGTAATTTAACAGTACAACAGAACCACCGCTGTGTGCTGTACTCATATGTCAGTAATTTACCAGTACAACAGAACCACCGCTGTGTGCTGTACTCATATGTCAGTAATTTAACAGTACAACAGAACCACCGCTGTGTGCTGTACTCGTATGTCAGTAATTTACCAGTACAACAGAACCACCGCTGTGTGCTGTACTCGTATGTCAGTAATTTACCAGTACAACAGAACCACTGCTGTGTGCTGTACTCGTATGTCAGTAATTTACCAGTACAACAGAACCACCGCTGTGTGCTGTACTCGTATGTCAGTAATTTACCAGTACAACAGAACCACCGCTGTGTGCTGTACTCGTATGTCAGTAATTTAACAGTACAACAGAACCACTGCTGTGTGCTGTACTCGTATGTCAGTAATTTACCAGTACAACAGAACCACCGCTGTGTGCTGTACTCGTATGTCAGTAATTTACCAGTACAACAGAACCACTGCTGTGTACTGTACTCGTATGTCAGTAATTTAACAGTACAACAGAACCACTGCTGTGTGCTGTACTCGTATGTCAGTAATTTAACAGTACAACAGAACCACTGCTGTGTGCTGTACTCGTATGTCAGTAATTTAACAGTACAACAGAACCACTGCTGTGTGCTGTACTCGTATGTCAGTAATTTACCAGTACAACAGAACCACCGCTGTGTGCTGTACTCGTATGTCAGTAATTTACCAGTACAACAGAACCACCGCTGTGTGCTGTACTCGTATGTCAGTAATTTAACAGTACAACAGAACCACTGCTGTGTGCTGTACTCGTATGTCAGTAATTTACCAGTACAACAGAACCACCGCTGTGTGCTGTACTCGTATGTCAGTAATTTACCAGTACAACAGAACCACTGCTGTGTACTGTACTCGTATGTCAGTAATTTAACAGTACAACAGAACCACTGCTGTGTGCTGTACTCGTATGTCAGTAATTTAACAGTACAACAGAACCACTGCTGTGTGCTGTACTCGTATGTCAGTAATTTAACAGTACAACAGAACCACTGCTGTGTGCTGTACTCGTATGTCAGTAATTTAACAGTACAACAGAACCACTGCTGTGTGCTGTACTCATATGTCAGTAATTTAACAGTACAACAGAACCACTGCTGTGTACTGTACTCGTATGTCAGTAATTTAACAGTACAACAGAACAACTGCTGTGTCTGTGACAGGAGTGGACTTACAGTGTGGTACTTGTACTAGGTCTTTGATTTTGGAAATGTAAAATAAATGGTATGTTCCAACAGTCTCTGTCTCTGTCTCTTTATCTCTCTGTGTTTGTCTCTGTCTCTGTCTCCCTCTTTCTAAGTCTCTGTCCCTCTCTCTCTCTCTCTCTCTCTCTTTCTCTGTCTCTGTCTCTCTCTGTCTCTCTCTCCCTCTGTCTCTCTCTCCCTGTCTCTCTCTCCCTCTGTCTCTGTCTCTCCCTCTGTCTCTCTCTCTCTCCCTGTCTCTCTCTCTCCCTCTCTCTCTTTCTCTCTCTCTCTCTCTCTCTCTCTCTCTCTCTCTCTCTCTCTCTCTCTCTCTCTTTCTCAAACATAATTGCCAACACCCCATGAACACACACACACACACACACATACACACACACACACACACACACACACACACTCACAAGCAATTGACACATTTGGTTGGGGGTTGCCTGACTTCTTTTAGAAAAAAGGGTGCTAAAAGAATATGCTCAATGCTTTCAGTAATCTATATAATAGCATGTGATGAAAAAGAAAGTAAATTATCGTGTCCGTTCTCCAAGGGAACTCACGGCGAGCGGTAACACCCAGGAAACCCTAGTGGCAGATGCAGCGCCTGGCATTGGGGGTGAGGGGATAGGTCTCACAACCACTGGCACGAATGCCGAGGAACCCCATTAGCCGCGGCTATGATATGTCCTGAGTGACCGGTTCCAAAGAAGCAAGAGACAATAGCTGTGCCAAATCATCACAACTGATCCTCAGCAACGCACACTGCCCACCGGGGGCAGGCGCACAAATGGCCCACCGTGGGCCAATGACATGAGCGGCCACCGAGGCCAACAGCCAGCCCACTGAGGGCTAAATGATCCTGCCCACCGTGGGCCGCTAGCATACTGCGCAGCTGCCCGCCAATTGGCCGACGCGGCCAGCAACCTGCTCACCGAGGGTGCATGAATGGCTGCCGAGGCTAACAACTTACCCATCAAGTGTTTTAAAAGCATACGACCCAACCGAGGGCACACGAATCAGGCCGCTGAGACCAGCAACCTGCCTACCGAAGGCTAACGCAAACAGCCCAACCGAGGGTGCACGAATGGCCGCCCAGGCCAGAAGAGACCTGCCTACCGAAGGCTGAAGCCTACAGCCCAACCAAGGGCGCACAAATAAGCACACAGCCCCTACGAGGTGCACGAACGGCCGTTGAGGTCAATCACCTGCCGACCTCCCCCCCCCCCCCCAGCCCAGGGTTAAAGCAAACTTCCGGCCAGGGGTAAAGCGTAGTGCCCAACGAGGGCTAGAGCATACTGTCCACCGAGGGCTAGAGCATACTGCCCAACGAGGGCTAGAGCATACTGCCCACCGTGGGTCACTGATGATCATATACTACCCACCGAGGGCTGAGTCGTACTGCCTATTGAGCCAGCAAACAGCCACCGAGGCTGATAACCTACCTGCCAAGTGATAAAGCATACTGCCCAGTGGGGGCGAACGAACGACCAAAAAGGCCAAGAGGCCAATTGAGTCATATTTCCAGGATTTCTTTTGAATTTCTCTCTCCTCTCACAGGGAGACTGACATAACCATTTTAGGCATGTGTTAGTGCATGCGTTCTGTCAGATGTGCGTGTGTTTGTTGTGGGACGTTAAGTCTGAAGAGCCATATTGCTTGTACTCATTGCCACCTACCATTCAGTTTGTTGTAAGAACTGAAATGTCCTATTAATAGTATTGCCTCTCTGAAAGGACTCGACATGTTTTGAGAGTTGTCAATGTGTGTGTTTTTGTTTGTGTGTGCGTGCGTGCGTGCGTGCGTGTGTGCGCGCATGCGTGTGTGCATGTCTGCATGCATGCATGTGTACGTGTGTATGCACCCTCTCTGTTGTACATTCTCCAGGGCTAGGTGAGCTTCTGAAGATCTCTACTGGATAGTGTTTAGCAGTTGAGATCGGTGAAAGTGACCAGCACTGGACAGGGATCATTTCAAGCAGCTACTGCAGTAAGAGATACTCCAACAGCACACTACCTGTCATTGATCACAACACTGTGACATCACTTGTATAGACATGATGTATACAGATTGTCTATGACACACACAGTGTTGTGTTACTATGTAGATATAATGATCAACTGAACTACATGTACTGTCTAGTCCAGTCTACTGTGGTATCAGTTTTACTGAATGTGTTCATGTCTACTCGCACCTACTGTTTTTACACTAGTCACTGTACAGAATAGTTACCGCTATGTCAGTTAAACCTGGAAAACTATACTCTACAAATGTTTATACTGCAATATATATTGCCATAGCAGTGTCAGCCATACCCTGTACATACAAGTTCATGCTACTATCCTTGAGATACACATCATATTTTACTCCAGTATTGAAATCTAGCAGCACTGCTAGCATTCGTGTGACGAGCAAGAAATACCCGTTGCTACCGGTGTGTGCTATTATGCCAAGGCATGAAGCACCATGCATGTAGCCATGGTTCGACCCGAGCACACACAGACTGCGCAGCTCCTTCAACACCATTTCCAATTGTGGCCGGCTTTTCTGTAGACCACAGGACCTATCCTGCCTGAACATGGCAATGTGTCCAAGGTCCAATGGGTTTGTGTGTACGTACGTACACGCGTGCGCACGTGTTTGTGTGCGTTTGTTTGTGTATGTATTATGTGTCTGGACGAGTACTGTAGTTGATGTATTTTTACTAAGACAGTACAATACTCACTATTCATATTTCCAGCTCCTTCACCATAACAATGAGATCCAGGCAAGTATAGAAGAGCGCATGCTCCAGTGGTTCTCTAGTGCTGTGCTGCTCTCCTTCTCACTCTTGGCTACTCTCTTGTGTAAATACTTCGTCCGTATAATTATTCAATACTACAAAACCCCTGTGTTCTGGAAGTGTGAGGGAACTTAGTTTAGTCGGGAGCTAACATGACTGTGTGTGTGTGTGTTGGGGGGGGGGGGGGGTGCACATGGATGTATGTGTGTGTGTGTGGGGGGGGGGTGCACATGGATGTGCATGCACGTGTGTGTGTGTGTGTGTTTGTTGTGTGGGTATATACATACTCAGCGGGACAGCATGCCAAACTAGAGTGTGCCCATTCATCCCAAGCTCATGATCGGGATCCTACCTCTGCCAGTATTTGCAGTATGTTACCATCAGTAATATGCAGCAGTGTTGTAATGATCAAATTCATCATGGTTAAGATCTACAATGTACTGTCGTGAACATTGAAATCAGATGGGATGACCTGGACCGGCACCCTTACTTCTGTTTGCATGTACACACACTATAGTTTATGTACTGACTGTAAAAATGGACCAGCTGTGCTCACGGCTGCAAGGTCAGTGCCCAGTGGCCGCTTGACTTCTCAACTGTTTTCAAAGCCCACGACAGTACCTTCAAGTGTAGATAAATGGAGGTGGCAAACGTCACGGACCATGATTCTGCGGCGATACTGCACCCAGAGATCACTAGCCGTGCTCATGGGCAGGCACAAGAGTATGTAACGTCTGCGGGGGCGGGGGTCTGAGCCCTCTGGATGTGGATGAGCAGATAGTTTAGATTTGCCACGAGCGCAATGGCACACAGTGTTCAAGGGGGGGGGGGGTGCCAACAGCAAGTTGCAGTGTCGGCATGCCGGTATCGTACAGGCACGCCTAGACTGCATGTGATTTCAGGCTTCATACTGCAACACTTTGTATGAAGTAAGCGTAGTACTTCAAGTATAAAGTACCTTGAATAGTGACACAATTAAGTACCGGTAGTCGGGTACAGAAAACAGAGTGACTTGGGAGCAAGTAGTAGTGATGTCATAGCAGGACAGCTGGAAAGTAGTAGTGATGTCATAGCAGTACAGCCGGAAAGTAGTACTGATGAGTGATGACATAGCCAATGCCCCGCTTGTAACATAAAAATATTCATAATACCAGTACTGTCCCTCTCCATGCTTCCAGGATGGTGGAAAGGGCGGAAATTGAAATGGAAAACAAATTGTGAACGGCCCTAGGTGAGAAAGAGAACATAACTTCTTGGTGATCGCCGTCGGAAACAATGCACATTGGCTATGAGAGTTGTCACTGATAGGACTGGAAGATTGAACAATGCGATGTCGTTATTTAACCACCTATGATAGAACACAGATTGGGCCGATCTAGGGCACTAGTGAATTTGCCACAAAAAAACCCATAGCTATGTGAATAAAAATAATAATATCAGCGGCATACTTGAAGTAGTGAGGGTAGGTAAGTGTAATTTGTCATGTGACCAGCATTGATGGTGGATATGCTAAAATACATATACATGTAGAGTAGTGATGATACTAGCATTGAAACTGGAGAATGGGACGGTCAAGGGTGGACTGGGAGGAGACTAGCATTGAAACTGGAGAATGGGACGGTCAAGGGTGGACTGTGAGGAGACTAGCATTGAAACTGGAGAATGGGACGGTCAAGGGTGGACTGTGAGGAGACTAGCATTGAAACTGGAGAATGGGACGGTCAAGTGTGGACTGTGAGGAGACTAGCATTGAAACTGGAGAATGGGACGGTCAAGGGTGGACTGTGAGGAGACTAACAACAGCAGTGAGGATGCACACATGCACATGCACTGCACACTGCACATACACTGCCGACTTGACCTTTTTACTGGAATTTCTTCGGTTCGTAGGGAATCAGAACGTTGGCTGGGGTGGTGCCAAGTAGCATGGAATGGCACTCGTACGACTTTGATAGACAGAAGCGACTGTCCGTGCCATACAGAAAATCAAAGATCCCCAGCATGCCGAAGGTTGAACCTGCAGCAGCCAACATAAACAAAAAAATAATATCAGGTTTTTATATACGAGGTACACAAACTCATCGGCAGGCACATGGGGCTAGCATGGAGTCAGCAGTGAGACGGTGCTGGTGGGACCTGCCATGCTCAACTGACCAGAGGTCTCGGCATCATCGAATGGCAGACTCACCAAACTGAGGGCATTGCAGTACATTGGATCAGAATCAGACAATACATATAGGAACATTCATGGTAAAAAGAGACAACAACCATGACACTGGTATGCAAGTGAACTGCTGCCGTGCTGGAAACAGGGAGCATTTCTTTTCTGTTGATGGGGCAGCGATTGGGGGAGTAATAAAGTCGTCACCAAAGAAATCCAGCCAATGCCATGGATACATGTACAGTGACATGGTGCCTGTCACAATCGCATTCATGCATTTACAGTCATTAGAGGGTCTACCAGCATAGCACTGAACTAAAACAGTCCACGGCTCTGCACTCTGCCTGCTGCAGTCGAGTCGAGCACAGCACAGACTGTAATCGAATTCCTTTCTACTTTAGGTCGGACCCTAGAGCACTACCAATTCCGTCTGTAAGCTCCCTCGATCCCTCACGACCACACACTCAAGACCCCAAATACGACTTGTTTACAGGAATTAGTCTAAAAGGAGAGTAAAAAGATCCACAAAAGCCAGCCTGATGCCGCGAGGTTCATGCCCTCACGCGCATCAAAGAACCATAGCAAAAATGGCGCACAGCATGATCAGATCACATGATCATGCTCTGATCAGCGATTCAAAGCGAGTCAACATATGATAACTAAATTATTTGAATCTTTCGAAAAACTATGATGTCAAAACATCAGTACATTTAGAGAATTATTTGAACAAGATCGAAGGAGAAGATTGATTACTTTATAGTCAACTGCAAATCATGCAATTCCATTACACCTCACCGCCTGATGACATAACCATTCATGCAATGAATACCTGAATGTCATCAACAAACTTATACTACACCTCACCGCCTGATGACATTATAAATAAAAGCACAAGAATAATAAAACAGAAACAAGTAAGGCAAAGAAGATGTCACGAACATACACATGACTTGAATATACACACATACGCACACACGCACGCACGCACACATACCCACACAGATGCGCACACGCAGGCCAACAACGGAAAGTTAGTGACTATACCGTGCTGGTGGTACAAAGCCATATGCCCGCATAACTGAGGGCTCGGCTGCTGGCAACACACGGACATACGTGGCACTGTCACTGTCATTCTCTGCAGCGGCACCATCCACAGGTGCTGCTGGGGCTGGCTCTGTTTGCAACGCATTAGGCTTCAACAGTTCCACATTGACCGTTTTCTCACTAATCCGGCCGGTACTGGAGTTGGTGCTGCTGATGACAACGGTAGACGGTGACACGATATGCACTACAGACCAACCAGGTTCATATGGAGTCATCCGTTTCTGGTGACGTTCTGGGCGACGGAGAAGAACTGGGGCACCAACGACAAACGGACACTCACTCTCTTCAGCCAAAACAGCATCAGACTCGGCCACAGTATCATTGACAAAGTCACGAATCCGAGCGCACTTCAGTGATAGTTCAGCTGACCAGGACATAAGCGAACCTTCGACAACAGGACGCTCTACGATCAGGTCACATGGCTCCCAGTTGACCATGGCCATCATTGGCGACATCTGGATGGCAGCATGGGGGCGAGTACGGTAGTAATACAGTAATACCTGGAGCTCTGTCAACCAATCAGACGACGAGTCAATGGTCTTACGGATCATATTCAGCAGGGTACGGTTAAAGCGCTCAGCGCTGCCCTGCGACTGCGGGTGGCGAACTGCGCCGTGGCGAACATGCACACCGAAGACATCAAACAATGCAGAGACCATGGCATTACAAAACTCTGACCCATTGTCGCTGCGAATGACACGTGGAGGACCCCATCGGGTACACAACTCCACCAGGCCGGCAGCAACACTGGACGCATCATGTCTCTGAAGCGGAATAATTTCTGCCCACTTTGTGAAAGAGTCAATACAGACCAACACACAATGATACCTGCCACTATGACACGCACCCAACTCAAGGGTATCAATGTGGACTACTTCCCACGGTCGGCTGGGCGAGTCGGAACGCACTTTCGGAACTGGGCCAGCAGACATAGAGCTGGCACAACGACAAGGGCTGCAGTCTCGGACATACTGCTGACAACTCTCAGCTAGCTTGGGAAAATAGCACCGACGGCGGATACTGCGCCACATGGCCTCCCAATTGCCATGGGCAGTAGCAGAATGTGCAGACGACAATACCTCTTCACGAAGCGACATAGGTAAAACGGGCACTGCGACTTCACCATCTATCGGGTCCTTTACACTGCGGTACAATACACCTTCAACGACTACAAGCTGATGCTGCACACGCTTGAATGCAGCCACAGACACAGGCTTACCAGCTACCAAGTCAGAGATAGTGGCACAAATCAATTCATCACGTTGCTGTTCAGCAGCTATCTTGTCAAGTGAGACAAAAACCGATGACAATGATGGCAACGGCACAGAAACAGAGATACCACACGTACCCTCATGGCGACGCTCATCTGCAGACTTGAGAACAGTCTTGGCGAGAGCTGTCCATCGGTGCGGAACACGGGTCAGGCAATCGGCATGATTCTGCTCACTTTTCACCCACGCGATGGTGACCTTGAGCCCAGCAACAGCGATCATGTCCGACAGGATAGCCAAACGACGTTGCACCAGAAGGGCTTGCAGACCCGACACTTTGACACGGGACGCGTTCCATAATGTAGCTTGAATCCACCCGTGTACAGTCTTAGAGTCGGTCAGGAGGTGCACTTCACTGACGTTCCAGTCAACAGCCAATTCCAGAGCTCGGATGGCGGCTTCTAGCTCTGCGACATTGATATGCCACTTGTCGTCCTTGGCCCTGAGCCACGCGCGGTCTTCCACTGTTACACCGCCTGCTTCCAGGACAACACCATACGCCAGGTCAGATGCGTCACACCACACTTGCACTCTACCGGTACTGACTGGAACATGCCACTGGCCACGCACTGGATCCTCGGTGCACAGACGAGCAGATAGATCACGACAGCACTGGTACACTACGTCAGACACTTCGCTGTCCCAGCTGCCACATTCGGATGACAGACGCTTGACGAAGCTGCATGCTGTACGTAACCACCCACAGATCAGGTAGTGACCAATGACGCGGCCGCACCAGCTAAACAGACTGCACTTGGTGATACGCACTGGTAGAGACACATCGATGTCACGGCGAACCCATGTCACTTCGCCGGTTGCATCCTGCTGCAACTGTAAGCCCAGCACTCGAGCTTCAGGCAGCTGTTCAGCAGGTTTCGTTGCGAGGCCGTACTCTGCCAACTTTGCCTCGGCTTCCACTTGGTGATTCTTTGCAACAAACACATCGTCGACGTAATTGTCGGCTCCCGGAACATCGCGCAGGACCCACTTGACTATGGCGTCCATCATCTTTGGAGTGACAGATAATCCAAAACCCATGCGCTGCATTACGAATCGTTTGCCCTTCCACAACACAATCTGGAAGCACTGAAGCTGCTCTGCTACATGAACTTGCAGGTAGGCCTTCCGGATGTCCATGAGGACATACTCGTGTGCAGGACCAGCCTTGCGCCACTTGCGCAGCTTGTCTCCACAGATAGGGGCCTCTCTGCCAGGCTCGGACTTCACAAGACGATTCAGCGACCGGTAATCCAAGCACGGTCGCACTGGAGTAGACTGTTTGTGCTCTTGGACCTGCGGGATGAGCGGCAGAACACACTGTGGGGGACCATGAACTGATGTATCGTGCGGGACCAGCCAGCCGTTGTGGATCCACAAATCAACTTCATCTTGGAACAACTTCTCTTGCTCCGCCGTCAACTTATGGCGCGAGTATTCTCCGATACCCGACCCAACACTGGCTTCGGGACCGACGCCATCATTCCATTGCCATGTCAGTTCCCACCGGCTCAGTACATTATTCCAGCGTACGCTGCCATCACTCGTTGAAAGTGTGACGTTACCCACCTCATCCTCATCCACTGACACATACGATAGTGGATGCTCTGACTTCTTTTCTGCGGCAGCACAGACAGGTTCAGCAGCTGTAAAGACCACTGACGCCAGATCATCGCCATCGTAGCGTACGCGAACCTCACCCACAGCTGATATCAGGGTCAAGCCAATTAGTACATCTGCACACACTGACTTGAGATCTGCCACAACGAGCGCCTCCACCTCTGTCTGCGGCAGCACAACATTCGCCGAGTCTTGTCGTGATAGTGTGACTCTGGTAGCGCCCAAGACTGGCAATGGCCGTCCATCGACTGCAGAAATCTGTGCATTGGAGGGGGTCAGCTGGCAGTGCAAGGCCTTAGCCAACTGGGCAGACAGCAACGTTTGGGAGGATCCCGTGTCTACCACTGCAACAGCACGATGTTCCTCCACGCCAAGCAATTTTGCATCGACGTACACGTGAGGCAGACAAACATTTGTCGATGGCACACACTGAACGTGACGAGCGGATTCACCAGAAACTGGAGCAGCAGCAGATGCTGACGTCTTACTACTGCGGGACTTCTTCCACGCTTCTCTCTCGGGACAATCTTTCTTGAGGTGTCCCTCCGCATCGCAAAAGTGACAGATCAGACGCCAACCTGAGTTACCACTAGCACCATCTCATCGTTTCTTAACTTTACTCGGGCAGTTCCGTGAAATATGCCCGACTTCATGACACTCGAAGCACAGCACTGAACTGGATCGTCCTCGCCCGCTGGATGAGGATGACGACTTCACCGAAGACGCTGCTATGGCCGACACACCACCCGACATGTGCGACACCGAAGTGCGCAGGCGACGAACATATGCCATGCAGGCTCCAATTGATGACGTGTCACCATTCGATGTCAATTGGTTGGCTTCTGTCGACGGCAAGCCCCTTATGAACTGCTCGATGAGCATGGGTGACTTGCCGTCCGCTTCGATTTTATGTCCGGCTGCAATCAACAACCGGCGCAGATCCGCAGCGTATGCATCCACACTCTCGGATCGACCAAGGGTGCGCGTAACAAACTGGCCATACGCCTGTCCTGTCGACAGCGTGAAGGCATCACGCAGCCGTTGTTTCACACTGTTCTCTTTTTTCTTATCCTCATCAGAGAGCTCATCCCACACTAAAAAGGCATCTCCATCCAAGAATAACGGAAGTTGTGCCATTCGCTTTTCCTCTGTTGTCCATTGTTGAAGTTGAGCAGCCACCATAAACTTTCTCCAAAAGACATCAAAGTCATCGCGAGCTCCACGATACTGTTTCAAATACGAATCAAATTTGGAGGACATGGTGCATACAAGGTGTTCACCAGCACGCGCAACAGTTCCTTTATCGTCCGCGACGTCCAAATTTGTCACACTGACAGCACTGACACTCGAACTTTGATCAGTCTGCTCACAACCAGCACTACCACGTTGCTGTTTTTGGACTGTATTTCCACGACCACGACGACTTTTCCGGGGCATCCACGTGGGTTTCGGTACCAAATCTGTAATCGAATTCCTTTCTACTTTAGGTCGGACCCTAGCCCCTCCCGGGTTTCGGCACCAAATCTGTAATCGAATTCCTTTCTACTTTAGGTCGGACCCTAGAGCACTACCAATTCCGTCTGTAGGCTCCCTCGATCCCTCACGACCACACACTCAAGACCCCAAATACGGCTTGTTTACAGGAATTAGTCTAAAAGGAGAGTAAAAAGATCCACAAAAGCCAGCCTGATGCCGCGAGGTTCATGCCCTCACGCGCATCAAAGAACCATAGCAAAAATGGCGCACAGCATGATCAGATCACATGATCATGCTCTGATCAGCGATTCAAAGCGAGTCAACATTATGATAACTAAATTATTTGAATCTTTCGAAAAACTATGATGTCAAAACATCAGTACATTTAGAGAATTATTTGAACAAGATCGAAGGAGAAGATTGATTACTTTATAATCAACTGCAAATCATGCAATTCCATTACAAGACTGTGCACTGCAGAGCACAGTCCCGACGGCAGAGCATGTGCCATGCACTAGGCTTGTACACTAGCACTAGCAGTGGCAGTGCATGCTACCCATGCACAGTACAGCTACCAGTAGCAGTGGCAGTGCACGCTGCCCATGCACAGTACAGCTACTGGTAGCAGTGGCAGTGCATGCTACCCATGCACAGTACAGTTACTGGTAGCAGTGGCAGTGCATACTGCCCATGCACAGTACAGCTACTGGTAGCAGTGGCAGTGCATGGGTAGCATGCACTGCCACTGCTACCAGTAGCTAGCATAGCATTGGGCGGATTGTTTGGCGACGACTGTATTCTTCTCTGTGCAAATTTCGAAAAGTTAGCACGTGGCTTTATACATGCAGTCAGAACATGGGGGGGGGGGGGGGGGGGGGGCTCAAGTCAGATTTTTGCATTCACCGCCTCCCATGTATGTGCAAGGTATTAGTACAGCTACCAATCAATGCAGAATGCACACACTACACTACTAACTTTGCATGATGGTAGTTGTGGTACTCGTTGGACGCCATGAACGGCAGGTGGAAGCCGCCCCACAGTGTGCGACGGACACGGAGGCCAGCGAGATGCAGGCCCACAGCAGCAGCAGCATACAGTGAGAGCCGAGCAGGACGGGACCAGCCATTACCGGCAATATGTTTGAGAGGCAATGCTCGACCGGGTGACAGTACAGACCAGAGATTCTGATGGGCACGATCCACTCGTGGTGAAACTTGTGAACGTGTTTTTTCATCGCTGCCAAGCTCCTCAAGAGGCTTCAGCACCTGGACTATCCTTTCTGCTTTCACTCACTGTAATAATGGCTGGCAACCCTGGCCACGTCATTGGTCACAAAGCTCGCTAGCAGTGGTCACTCGCCCCGTGTCCGAAATTTCGAGTCCTCTGTCTCATACTCTTGGACGATACATGTACCGAACCAACTGTATAGATCCGATAGAACAACAAGACACGTGCACTATTGCAGGCAACGATTTACATCTGTTGACCATCTAGCCACGCACTGAATTATTTCCATTTTGACGTTTCAATAGATGTTCAAATAATATCCAACACGCAGTTCAGTTCAGTTGGCTCAGTCCTCCAGTCTGCGGTCATCAACATCATGCCATTCATCGCGATCAACACGCGTTCTCTTACAACTCGGTCTGGCTTTCTACAATCTTGACCATTATTAATTGCATTATCACTGCCATACTACAACAGTTTACTCGATTCATATCACTGCAATCATCAGCCAATAATCCAGGGAACCGAAAAAAATCCTATCACTCAGCTATGTCAGATCAACGCTTTCTTCGTGCACGCATACGCCATGGCAACCATGACCGGAGTCGGAGGCTGGCGGAGAGTCGGAGACCTCACCCGGTAGAAGTCTACCCTCACTCAGGCCCAACGCCGGCCAAATGCGAAGGCTACTGCCACTTGCCAGTACTGGCGGCATGGCTGCAACGACCGCGTTGACGTTGTCATCTCCTTCCGACTATTTTTTAGTATTTTTTACTATTCTCTTAGTGCTGTTGCTGATACTGTGATAGCCAAGAGCCTAGGCGATCGAGCTGATGCTGAACATTTCAAGCGTGATTTTCGAAGAATTGTTTGCCTCCATGAAATTCGCTCTGTACCTGAGCCACAGCTGATGAACGGCTTGTACTTGAAAGTACGTGTTATTGCTTGAGAAAAGACAACTCTTTGATCCTAAGAAGTTATGCAGTAACTCGATTTCGATCGTGATCAGTCCGCAGTGCGAGTGAACTGTGGTCACGCGGACAGGCAGGAGGGTGAACAATGGCAGACAGGGTGCGCTATAACATAGCCTTCCTACTTTCCAATCTAGATGCATCCGTGATCTTGGAACTCTTGCTGGAGAATGATGTGCTGGACGTTGATGAATATGATACTGCCTCTAGCAAGGAAAACGTGAAGTCTGATCTGACAAAGTACGTGGTGAGGCTGATGCTGAAGAAAACAGAGGAACAGGTCGACACGTTCCTGAGGCTCATTCAGCACAGCCAGCCTCATGTAGCGGAACATGTCGCCAGTACCATGGCAAAGCGACGCGATCCAACTGCCAGTGGGAAAACTGACCATCCGACGAAGCCAATATCAATGTCGGCAGATGATGAGTCCACACTTGGCTCGTTCTCCGGTAAGTTTTCACATTGATTACGTGACGTAGGAAGATTGGGTGGGGGGGGGGGGGGCTCGTTGAACATTCGTGTAACTACATGTCTTGTACAGTTCTGCTCAATGAAATCCAGTCACAGCATCACTCAAGTACGCGCTGGGCGTTGCGCAGCCCTAGACCTGCAAACATTGGGCTGCAAAATGGTGCAAGACACAAACTTGAGTGACACGACTGGATTTCATTGAGCAGCACTGTACTTACTTGTTAGCAGTGAGAAGTGCTTACAGAGATCAATCAGTTCATGCATTCACATCAATCTTATTGAGAGCTGACCCTGGGTGGGTTCAGTTAGATGGACAGTCCTGAGGTTATAACCAGATCTACATGACGATTCTGTAGATCTACAAGAAATGCAGGTGCCAGGGGCCTGAAGCACTGTCATGGGTCACTAGATTATTGCTAGGGAGTTCAGTTCCAGCCTGGGTCAGGTGAAAACTGCAGTCACAACTCGCGTGTACATTTTCAATGGGGCCCGCGTGAAAGCTCTTTGGCCTGACTTCGAGCCCGCCCGCTTCTATCTGATCCCGTGGCCAGTACTCCCTTGTCAATGCTATTTTAGGTAGCTGAGGTCATCGCCTTTCCATTGATGCCACACATGCCATGCTTGAACAGAAAAGGTGGAGCCGTGGTTTGCACAGAGGCATAGTGAAGTACTGATCTCAACCAGATTCATACTCGGCCCCGGGAGGTACACCCAATTTTCGTGTTCAGCAGCCTCGAATTAGTCTAAAACAAGAGGATTCCAGAACATTTAGCCTCGCACTGTATTGCAGTAGAAGGAAAATTATCACAGAAGCCAGCCCACAGCGATTTCCCGGTGTTGGACGTAAAAATCGAGTGAATTGCGCGCTCACTGTACAAGCTGTGACGGTGAAAGCATGTGAGTTGTGCAAGCAGGCACACCCGACATGCATGCCGTGCAGCACATGCATGCACACGGCCTGCATATGCACATCCTGTATCGCCATGCACTTCAGTTTGCACGCGCATCTATGCACCAAATAGTGCAGTGCTGGACGGAAACCACACCGTCCCCATTCATACTTGAATTACTTTCTGTGACTGCTCAGGCGTTCATTTTCCAAACTTCAATCATAGCTTTAACTTTGGTTAAGGTTAAGTAAAAAGTAATTTATCGTGTCCGTTCCTGAAGGGAACTCACGACGGCCGCTAACACCCGGTAAACCCTAGCGGCATTGCCTTTGGATTGCCTTGGAATTTATGTTTCAAACTTTCGCAGGTCGTTTCTGAAACCTTCCCGGTTCACAAAAAATAGCGTTTCATGCGAAACTTTCGAATATGATTTTTCGTTTGAAGTTCCTATTATTGCTTTGCATCGTAGCTGCTGATGAGTTTTGTTTTTCTAAAGTTCTGCAGTTTACTTCGAAATCGCAAACATTGCTTTAGTCGGAGTCAGTTGGTCTAATTGCTACGCCGGCAGCAGCTTTAGTGCAGCATTCCAGAGAATACCACTTTCCAGACAAAATGTTCAACTGAGACTCAGTACAGTAGTTCTTGGAGAGAGAAGATTGCAAAGTACTTTGGCGGCAGAGTTAAATTTGAACATTTCCATGGAAATACTAAGCCCAAGGCTACAAGCCATTATTCAATGACCTCCAAAAGATCTCACTAAGTCAAGATGGTCATCAACACCATTGTGGAAAATACTCTATCAGTGGAACATGACTTTGTTACTAGTCATAGAGTTCGACCACAACCGCTAGTAGGAGATAAACCCGGGGTTCTTGTTTGTAATAGCTGCAACCGGGGCGTTATTTTCTAACTTGAACTTATCCCTCTGTCATTGCTCAGTGCACAGAACAGTCTGAGAACACTACCAGTACTATGATTTTTTAATTTACTTTCTCCGCTGATAAGCAAAACTTCTTAATAGGGTTTTTTTTTTAACTCGGAGAGCGTTTTAGTGTTCTGTTTATGATCTTCCTATAGGCATTAGACACACATGTCAGTGATCTATCCCCCCCCCCCAGATAGGGTAGCCATGGTGACATCCATTACTCTGATAGGCTTAGAACCTCCGATACGCGTGGAGTCCTTTGGAGAAATTTAAGAAGTATAGCCCTGTCCTGACAGGATGTCACCAGAACACACCCACAAGCGCACAACACCGAAGTGAGAAATGAGAAACAGAGCCTTACAAAAACCATTCCTGTGAGCTCCTTGGCCTAGGGAGATTGCAAAATGCCTGTCAAGAACAATACTGAAAATTATACCGGTATCACCGCCAACAATACCAGTTATTGTGCGCACAAGACGGAAAGCCATGAAGATCCCCAATCAAAAGGACGTCACTCTTCATGCCGCAGAATTCACGGCAGGTAGACCGCTGACAAAGATCAAGAAGCTGTTCGCGTAGCTCTTCTCAGACTTCCCAAGTTCTCTAAATCTCAAGGTAAAATTTGTGCACAAACAACTCAAGTTGTACTTCAAAGTAGATCTACCATGAGCAAGTATCAAGTGCCGCTCCAGTGTCAGGACTCAACTGGTCACGCAAGCGGAAAGAGTGAGTGCGTTCGATTATAACCGCAAAACGATGTTGAATCCATTCATGAAACGTCCCTGGCTATTCACATCACCCCATGTTAGGGTAAATGGATTCCAAACTGATTCCAGGGCTACATGACATGAAATCCAACGACAAGATTCCATTCATGAATCAATTAATGGCTGTAATCGAACGCACCCAGTGTGGCCGAGGAGCCGGTCAAAAGTTCACCACTGAAATCGCACAAAAGCTGATTGTTGTAAACAATCAGAACTGGGGTCGATTGTCGTTGAACTGACTAGCCAGCAAGCTGGTAAGAGAAGGAGTAAATTTCTCACCTGTGACTGTTTGAGCTAGGTGCAAGGTGCTTCAGATGCGGAGACGGCGACGATACATCAAGCCGGATTTGACAGCCGAGCATAAAATAAAGCGCATGAAATTTGTCCTCTCCCAATTGAATTACCAGACCATGAAATTCTCCGACCTGAAAAACGAGACACATGGAGGCGAGAAGTGGTTCTACATGATGCATGACAAGCATGCAACAGAAAATGTGGTGGTTTCACGAGGATGCAACATACACAACCAGTGATGCTGGTACAGTCAAACCTAGCTTATCCGGTCCTCATTTATCTAGATCCCTTGCCATCCGGAAAAAAATTGTTAGTTACCGATTTACAGCATATGCCATGCATACAACACATACTGTATGTCATACGGTATGTGTGTTCGATTATCCGGTTCCCTATCAGATATTTTTGTGGAAAACGGATGTGTGCGGTTATGCGAGGTCTGATCTCAACGCGGACGACTTGGCGTTCTTCCACAACCTGCTGACCGACGTGTCACTAATGGCGAAGGAAACCAGAAAAGAGCTCAGAAGTTCTGGAGGCTTTGGAAACGTGCTGGCAGGAGAACCCTGCTGCCAAGATGAAAAGCATTAAATTTTGGTTGTGCCGCTATGGCACCTTCCATGGCATTCTGGAGCGGCGGAGAGAAACACTGCCGACAGCGGCACCGTGCAAATCGTCAAGCTCACAGTTCAAGCAAAGAAGTACGATCATTTTTTTCTCAGCATCTTTAAAGATTACGGAGCAAGAGCTGTCAGTGTGTCAGCGCTGTAGACGGGAGTCAGCGAGGTAGCAGACTCAATGCAGGGAATGAGTTGTCATCGGATTCAGATGAAGAGAGAGAAGCTGGACCGCGAGGCTTCGAAACAAACTGTGTGACATCTATAAACTACTACCTCTCGTATGCTGCTTTGTTTCCCCTCTGCGAAGTGTGTTGTAGCCATAGAATGCTTTTGACGGAACTGTAAAAAAATGCAAAAACGTTTCGCTTAACAAAGGCAGTAGGTCATGCATCCCTTTTGAAAAAGATTTAAAACTTACAATAGGTTTATTCATAATTTCTGTTTCCTTGGTAGGTGTCACCATGGCAACAGTTGGCAAACAGAAGACGCAGCCATTGCAGCACCCAGTGGGAGCTTGTCAGGCAGACCAACAACGGACGTCCAACAGATGTGAACCAATCTTCAAACAACCAACATCAGCTGAAACAACAGCCAATGTAACTAGAACGGGTACAACATCCAATACAACATTGACTACAACACAGGATTCAACACGATCAACAACTTCAAGCCAGTCATCTCTACCCGACAAAGACCGACACTTCACTGGCAGGGATGACATTGTTACAGAGATCAGTCACAAAATTCTCACAACAAAGTCCAAATCATCATCTACACGGGTGCAGAGTCTTGTGGCACCAGCTGGTTTTGGGAAGACGTCCGTAGCCATTGCTGTGGGACATATATGTCGCAATGCTGGTTGTCGTGTGGAGTTCTTTAACTTACGCGGTGTAGCTGGTGTTGACGCTGTCCAGGCAATAATTCAAAGCCGACTCGAAACAAATCCTGTTTCATCTGAAACTACTGGCAAGACAACCAAATCAACTGATGGCATGGATGATGATGGTCGCAAACAACAAATGTTAGTTATTCTGGATAATGCTGAGGATGCTATCCAAGCTGGTGCTGATAAAGATTTCCAGCTACAAGATGTTGTGGAACGACTTCTTCGACTACAACACAACGTTCATGTCCTACTGACAAGTCGAGTTTACTTTGACCTACACGCTGCCCAGTTTAAACTACAACAACACCGTCTTGATGGTCTGACAAAGGTTTGTGCTGTTGGTCTTCTCCATGGTCTATGTGTTGAAGGTAGTGTGAGCTTTGAAGATGCACAGAGGTTAGTGGATCGTTGTGGAAATGTTCCACTTGCTGTACGCATTACAGCTGGTCTTCTACAAGGTGGTCGATTAACTCCAACCATGTTGTTGTCGTTATTCCAAGATCTTGGTCTCGATGTGTTCAACAATGATGGTCTGAAACCAAATCATCGAATCCTGAAGCTGTTGGAATTAGCATACAACACATTACAACATGATGACAAGGAATCATTCCATGCTATCTCTCAACTGCGCTCCTCATTCTCATCTAAATGTGCTTGTGTGATGGTGGGATTGGCTGACACTAAGGCCAATGTGGTTCATCTTGTACGGTTTGATCCTTTTGATCAAGATTTGTTTCCTGGATTACAATCCGTATCTGGACCGCTACCCACTTGAACCATTCATCGCCGAGTTTGGTCGTTACCAATGCCCTGAAGACAAGCGACGTGTGTACCAACGTCGAATGTGCAAGCATTTCCTTGGTTTTGTCAAGGAAGCTGATGACTCTAGAGGTTGTGGTGCAGACAAAGCAGTGTATTGGAGTTCCCAATTGCTTCAGGAAAAAGTGAATATTCAGATGGCGTTGTCTGTTGTTGATGTTTTGTCTGGTGACGACTTGCTTCCTTTCTCTGGATTAACAAAGTGGTCGGGTATCCTATTGGCCTTGTTTGGGAGATCAGTATTTGCTGAAGAGTTTGGGGACAGGATTCGAAGATTGGACAAAGCACCGCTATCTGTACAAGCTGACAGCATTTGCAACTCGGTCCTGCGTTATATTCTCCGTCCAAGCATTGCAGATTCTAATGTCACTTTTGAGAGTTTGGATTCCAGAACCCAAATGCTCCTGGAAAAATCTGAACAAGAACCGACTGGAGTGGAGTCACAGCTGCAGCTACCTTTGTTTCAACTTTCTCTGGAGTCATGCAGGGTATCCATGTCTCTGGACATCGACTGCAGGGAAGGACAGGTTGAACCGAGCCAGGAAACACTATCCCGTCTGCAGGTGGTGTACCAGCGTGTTACAACAACACGCAGTATGGGTCTTGCTAAAGGTCTCACTGAATGGACCCTGAAACTCATTCAACTGTATTGTTCCACTCTGCTAAACAAGGATATACCCAATGTACAGGTGGTAGAAGACCTTGCTGAGAGAGTGATTTCATCACACTTCCTATCACAGGATGGTGCAGTCAAGTCATGTGCTTTTCTGTACGATCTTCTGCTACAATGCATATTTGTGATCCTGGGCAAGGTCTTGTCAAGTTCCTGTAGCAGTGAGTGGATTATTTCACCATCATTGATTACAACACTGGGTATACCACAGTGCGAATGGAAACATGTACCAACTGCTATCAGTCGCTCGGTCAATGTCCATGACGACAATACCACTGTGTATACTTTTCAGTTACAACGGTACCTGCACTGCATGGATAATGACACAGTGTCCACACTACTGGACATGTACTTGGGTGGTATGTACAACACCCGGTACATATCCTTGGTAGTTAATGGAAGGGCACACACAACTCCATTGGGTCTCACTCTACCAGCACGGCATCCCTACAACATTGTGATGGACTATGTCAGGAGATGGTGTCATGGCTCAAATCCAGCAGATCGCACAACAGCACTGATTAACAACTGTAGCCAGAACAAGGTACCTGATGTGGAAGTGATGCAGTCTTGTATACAGACAGCTAGAACACTGCTCAGGATTGAGGTAAGCTGGTAGTGCAGTGTTCACAATTCAGGTTACCATAACTGTTTTTCATCCACACTCCACTCTGAATGGAACATTGTATTGCAAACCAGTGTACTCAGTATATGATCTACTGTATAGTGTCTGTCTCTCTAAGGTAGATTTCTTGAAGAACACAGAGGGGAATGTGATAATTTTGAACATTGTCAACTAGTGAAATGGAATGTGTAGCTTTCCGCTATATCAGTCTGATTTGTTATTATTGTGCATGATGTTCTCTGTTTCGAGTGTACTGGCTTCAGTTACTTTCTTTTCTACACTTTTCTTTGTTGTGTGCTTTGCTCTAGAATACGATCTTTGCACTTGCAGAAATGTCCAAACTCTTCCCACCGTTGAAGTCATTGGTTAATGATCTCAGTGCTTACCTGTCAAGAAATTGTGCAACTGGTCTCTCAGTGTCTGGAATTGTGTACTCAGTACCACCACAAGCTGGAGACGATACTCTACTATACTACTCTCTCATTGCTGCCCTGCATCGTCAATCCAAGAGAGGCCAAGTGAGCATTGATCACCACATTGCACTACTGGAATGGTGTCCACGTGTAGCAGCATGTTTTGTCTGCTATGACCTGGACAACATCAAAGCATGTCCTCGTTGTGGCATGGCTTACCTCTGTGGCAAACATCGTCAAACTGGTGAACACCTAAGTGAACACAACCAACACTGTGCTATGCTGGCAGCACTCAGACATCGCATACTACAGTAAGTTATCATCAGCAGGCGCGTACGCAGGGTCACCTCTAGGGGGGGTTTCCAACGGAATTACTTGTACAAACAATGTGTTTTTTACCTTTAAAAAAATTTCAAAATGATGCATTGTTCGCATTCCTTGGATCATAACTTCAGTTCTACTTACTCAATCTTCATAATCTTGGGCTTCCTGGAAGTGGAATGGTATCCACGAGAGAAAGAGAATGAGATCGACAATGATAGCCAGGACACTGCGGGCGGGTAACACCGCCGTTGGAGGTAGTCTGGGTGTATGGGGGTTGGGGTGTCACCCGGGAAAATTTTGAAATTAGGGAGCAAAATCCTGCACTCTGGGCACTTTTGGCATTGGTCCGGAACAGCCGGACCAGCTGCTACGCTGCTGCACTGTACCTGTATACAGCGCTTGTATAGAGTGCAGCAACGGTGCAAAATGACCCAAAGGCCCAAAGCATCCTGCTCCAGCGATTTCGTTTTTCTCGATCGCAGAGTTTCGATTGTTTTGCTGTGTACTCTTGAGAATAATCACAAGTGAAGCCCCTGCAAATTTGAGCAAGTCAATGTGACGAATAGTCTCAAATTCTCGATACTCAAGTTGCACTGCGCGATTTGGAAATTGCCGGGATCGCGGCTCAACTAACGAATGCTATATCTCAAGAACCATTGCTCGCAGTGCTTCGCAGATTGTTTCGACCGACAGCTGAGAGTTTTCTATTCGACCTGGATATTTGGATCGTTGGAATTGAGGCAGATTTGACTGAGTTACGATCTGTTGAAGTTTGCATTCTTGTCAGATCAATCGCACGCCCTACCAAAATGTGCCCAAAAATGTTGCTCGTTTGGAACATTTTGGGGGGGGGGGGGTTTCCGGGCAACTGGACCCCCCCCCCCCCCCTGCGTACGCGCCTGCATCAACTCACATGACAGATTGTGAGTGCTGTGTGATGAACTGATGTGTTAGTGCCTTGTTATCGTGAGAAAATTACAACTGAGTCTGTGTAAACGTTTCTGTGTGAGATGGGGGGGGGGGGGGCGGTGTGGGGAGGAGGGGATAGAGGTATGTCTGTGTGTGTGTGTGTGGGGGGGGGGGTGTCTGTACTTGTATGGTAGTGATTCAGTATTACGAGTGAACTACCGATGAGTCCATGGCAGGACCAACAGGTTGGAGGGGGGGGGGGGGGGGGTACTCGCACAAGACCTTTGATTGTGTGTAGGATCACACACGGTATATTTCTACTGTCCCTCTGTATGACCCCTTCTAGGGCCAATGTGACATTGTAACAACGGGTTTCCTACAGAAAATCAAAGGTCTTGTGCGAATACCCCCCCCCCCCCTCCCTCCAACCTGTTGGTCCTACCATGGACTCCTGGGTAGTTCACTCGTAATACTGAATCACTACCATACAAGTACAGACACCCCCAGGGGTAACTGCAGTTGGATCCCAGGACGGATACCCTGATGCCGTCAATCCTTTTTCTGCACCTTGTCCGAACCCACTTACCGTATTATCTCTAATATAAGCACGGTCCTTTATTTTTTCAATGTACCTCCGCCTCATGCTATTAATGGAGACGTTCCTTTATTGGAGACTGTTCCATTATTATTTCAACCTCATTTCAGAGGCATGTTGCCATGCCAAATTCATGTATGACACACACATTTCAGGTTTTTTTTCGCCGGTACAGATAATGAATTTACACAGTGTGCTTATAATGGAGACTGAGCACTTTATTTTTTGAATGCCGCCCCATGGTGTTCTATTATTGGAGACTGTGCTTATATTAGAGATAATACGGTACTGAGGTGTGGTGAACCCATAAGTGGGATCATTTTCAAGTTCACCCAGAGTTTTGGGGATTTCAGGGGGTGTCGGACGTTGGGCAGCTCAATAGCCAGTTGAGTCATCTTTCCAAGATTCCTTTTGATTCTCTCTCCCCTCTCCCGGGGAGACCCACGTGACCAGTTTTGTCAGTGAGCAACAAGTACAAGTGTGTGTGTGTGTGTGTGTGTGTGTGTGTGTGTGTGTGTGTGTGTGTGTGTGTGTGTGTGAGAGGTGTGTGTGTGTGTGTGTGTGTGTGTGTGTGTGTGTGTGTGCGTGTGCGTGTGTGTGTGTGTGTGCGCGTGTGTGTGTGTGTGTCTGTGTCTTTGTGTGACTGCATGTACGGGCACTTGTGTTGGCAAGGTTTTGTGGAGCGAATGCGCGCTTGCTCACCTCACTGCCTATCTTCCTGACCAGTTTGTGAGCTGGTCGTATTCACTCAACATACCCTGCTGCCACTCAGATTGGTCTTGCACCGTGTCAACCTGTGACCAGTAAACACAGACAAGTTCCAATAAATATGTCCCCTGTATGACCCCTTCCGGGGCCAATGTGGCATTGTAACAATGGGTTGATAGAACAGGCGGGAGTCTTTCACAGTGTGTATGTGTTTGAGAGCACTTGCAACCGTGCATGTGTGTTCTGTGTGGCTGCATGTATGGGCACTTACTGTAAATATACAAATTTTCGGCAGCTATTTAATTTCGGCTATATTCGGCACCGACCCAAAACGCCTAAATTAAAACGCCGATGAAATTTTTCACAGCATCTGTCGCACTATACATGTATACACTATGCCCTCTACCCCACGCCGAAAATAAATCGCCGCCGAAATGTCAAAAATCGCGAAGTGCCGAAATTTTGCAGCGCCGAAATTTTGTATATTTACAGTATGTTGGCAAATATCTTTTTGTCGAGCGAATGCACACTTGCTCACCTCACTGCCTATCTCTCTGGCCAGTTTGTGAGCTGGTCGTATTCACTCAACATACCCTGCTGCCACTCAAATTGGTCTTGCACCGTGTCAACCTGTGACTAGTGAAACAGACCAGTTCCAATAAAAATGTCGAAATTGCCAGAGTCGATTCTAAAGGCAAAGTCACTTATCCCGTCACAAACACTCATGCCTCTTCTCGTCTTCGTCTCGCTCAATGAGAAACACATGAACTGCTTGATTGTGTATGTGGTGTATGCACACCACAGACCCAGTAATGCATACTGTGTAGTGTACATCTTGATTACACGTAGGTCACGCCTTGCACGCTGCGCAGCCGTAGTGTAGGTTCATGTTATTTTATTTGTGATCTTTTGTATTCTTTGATTTCATGTTTTTGTTGTAAGTCGTCGGTTCGATACCAAGTAAACTCAAGTCCGGTTGTGTTGTGTGCTCATGTTTTGCCCTTAGGTAGAAACATAACAGTGTATACGAGGATTAGCGACCCGGAGTGTGTGTGTGTGTGGGGGGGGGGGGTGCGTACGTGCATGCGTGTGTGTGTGTGTGTGTGGACGAGGGGTGGGTATGTGGGGGGGGGGGGTATGTGGGGAAAACAAATGGTACAATGTGTCAGGAAAATCCCTAGCAGGGAATGTCGCTTCTGTAGTATGTGTGCAACGCATCCTGCTAGACGGTCGCCTGCTTTACAGCTTGATGTTATCCAGAATGTGTATAAAGTTATAAACACTGCCTGTAGATTCCAGTCATGATGTCATTATGGGTCATGATTATTACTTCGAAGTATAACAATGACTTCATTCTTAATTATATCACCAACGCATGCAATCCATAAGACGAATTTTATGTCCAGAGCTTCAAATAAATGTGTGATTCTGCCTGTGTGTGTTGTTTGGTATGTGTGCGTGTGTGGTGGCGTGTGTGTCGGTGCATGTGTGTGTGCATGTGTATGTGCACTCTCCCCGTTGTACATTCTCCAGGGCTAGGTGAGCTTCTGAGGATCTCTACTGGATAGTGTTTAGCAGTCGAGATTGGTGAAAGTGACCAGCACTGGACAGGGATCATTTCAAGCATCTACTGCAGTAAGAGATACTCCAACAGCACACTACCTGTCATTGATCACAACACTATGACATCACTTGTATAGACATGATGTATACAGATTGTCTATGACACACACAGTGTTGTGTTAGTATGTAGATATAATGATCAACTGAACTACATGTACTGTCTAGTCCAGTCTACTGTGGTATCAGTTTTACTGAATGTGTTCATGTCTACTCTCACCTACTGTTTTTACACTAGTCACTGTACAGAATAGTTACCGCTATGTCAGTTAAACCTGCAAAACTCTACTCTACAAATGTTTATACTGCAATGTATATTGCCATAGCAGTGTCAGCCATACCCTGTACATACAAGTTCATGCTATTACCCTTGAGATACACATCGTATTTTACTCCAGTATTGAAATCTAGGAGCACTGCTAGCATTCGTGTGACAAATGTAGAAATGCCCGTTGCAGCCGCTGTGTGCTATCACGTCAACGCATGAAGCATCACAAATGTAGCCATTGTTCGACCTGAGCAAGCACAGACCGCAGCTCCTTCCACATTGTTTCCCATTGTGGCCAGCTTTCCAGTAGCCCACAGGACATATCCTGCCTGAACATGGCAATGTGTCCGAAATCCAAATGTGTTTGTGTGTACGTACGAGCACGCGCGCACGCACGTGTTTGTGTGTGTTTGCGCACGTGAATGTGTGTGTGGTGGTGGTGGTGGGGGGGGGGGGGGGAGGTGCACATGGATGTGCATGCACGTGTGTGTGTTTGTTATGTGTGTATATACATACTCAGCGGAACAGCATGCCAAACTAGAGTGTGCCCATTCATCCCAAGCTCATGAACGGGATCCTACCTCTGCCAGTATTTGTATTATCTTACCATCAGTAATATGCAGCAGTGTTGTAATGATCAAATTCATCATGGTTAAGATCGGATTTCAAAGTCCACGACAGCACATTGAAGTGTAGATAAATGGAGGTGGCAAAAGTCACGGACCCTGATTCTGTGGAAATACCCCCAGAGATCACTGGCCGTGCTCATTGGCAGTCACAAGAGTATGGTAACGTGCGCTTGGGGGGGGGGGGGGGGTATCTGAGCCCTCTGGATTTGGATGAGCAGATACTAGTGTAGTTTTGATTCGCCACGAGCGCAGTGGCACACAGTGTTCAAGGGGGGGGGGGGGGGGTGCCAACACCAAGTTGCATTGTCAGCATGCCGGTATAGTACAGGCACGCCTAGACTGCATGTGATTTCAAGCTTCATACTGCAACACTTTGTATGAAGTAAGCGTAGTACTTCAAGTATAAAGTACCTTGAATAGTGACACAATTAAGTACCGGTAGTCGGGTACAGAAAACAGAGTGACTTGGGAGCAAGTAGTACTGATGTCATAGCAGTACAGCCGGAAAGTAGTAGTGATGTCATAGCAGTACAGCCGTTAAGTAGTAGTGATGCCATAGCAGTACAGCTGGAAAGTAGTACTGATGAGTGATGACATAGCCAATGCCTTGCTTGTAACTTAAAAAATATTCATAATACCGGTACTGTCTCTCTCCATGCTTCCAGGATGGTGGAAATGCGGAAATTGAAATGGAAAACAAAAATGTGAACGACCCTAGCTGAGAAAGAGAACATAACTTCTTGGTGATCGCCGTCGGAAACAATGCACATTGGCTATGAGAGTTGTCACTGATAGGACTGGAAGATTGAACAATGTGATGTCGTTAATTAACCACCCATGATAGAACACAGGTTGTGCCTAGCTAGGGCACTATTGAATTGGGCACAAAAAAACCATAGCTGTGTGGATAGTAACGAGAGAGCTTGGAAGCTCAGAGCCCTACGCTATGCTGTTTTGCCTT